TTTATGTTTTTGACTTTGACTTTATTTTAGTTTATATAGTGAACAAAATTTATTATTATTTGTATTAACGGAATTTATTTATTTAGTTTAGTTTTTTGTTTAGTTTAGTTTATTTTTATTTTTATATACATACATATACAATAAAATAAATGTACCATTTTTATAAAATTTTAATTTACAAATTTTTTATTATAAAGATGTAAATATATAAACTAGAAGATATTTTATCGTTTTGTTTTATATAAATTTTAATACAACAAGAAGTAAAGAGAAATTGCTAAACCGCTGACATTTTCTACACTAGTAAAAAACAAATGAATATAACACACATTCACATATATATATTCTTAGAGAGAGGTAATATCATAAATAAACTTTTTTATATGCAGGGCTAGATTCCAGGTCAAGCCTGAGGGCTGTCGACAATTTTAGCGGAGTCGGCATTGTTAAACAAAATCGCGACTCCGACTCCAATAGTAAAACTACTCGGTATTGCACGTACATGTACAAAATATTCAATTAACAAAATATTCAATTAAAAAATTAATATTAAATTAATTAAAAATATTCAATTATATTCATATTAAGCCTTCAAAGAACTTTTCAGAAATTTGGTAAAAAAAAAAAAAAATTATTATCGCGTAAAATTTTTTAAAGAACTCATAGAATTGTTCAAAAATTTTGCTTTGGAGTCGGAGTTGAAGTCGAAGTCATACTCTAAATATTTCAACAATTTGAGTCGGAGTCAGTATTTTTTTTTACGACGCCAAACCCCTGGTTATATGGATTGTGATAATAATAATTATTTTATTTGGTGCAAATTTGCACCAAATAAAATTCGACATGCATGTTTTTGTTTACTGTAAAGCTTTTTTAGTATTTGCATGATTGGTACTTGCCCAAGCGATATAGTATGTTAGGGTTACAGTATGTTAAGTAATAATGAACAAAACCAAAGTATACTACTCCTTTTAGTGATTTAAAATCAAGAAATGGCGTTTATCCTTCGTTTATCCTTCGTTTATCCTTCGTTTATTCTTCGTTTATCCTTCGCTTATCCTTCGTTTATCCTTCGTTTATCCCTCGTTTATCCTTCGTTTATCCTTCGTTTATCCTTCCTATAGTTTTTAAAAAAATTTTTTCTGGACTGTTTATATGAAATTTCCATCGTATATTTTCATCTAACTCCGCGCCGAAAAAGTTAACTGAAGATTTCTTTTTAATAATAGTTTTGTTTATAATAAGATTTGATAATTCAATGGGGGTGTTTTTAACTTTATTTACGGAGTAATATAAATTTAGTTTTGTCAGCATTCAGAGAAAGTTTGTTATATAAAAATCACTCATGAACTTTTTCTAATTGTTTATTAACGTGTTTAAAAAGTATTTTAATATCTTTGTGTAAATAAAAAAGATTGGAATCATTAGCAAATAGAACTAAATTTATAAGATTTAATGATAAATATATATTGTTTACGTACAGTAGAAATAATAATGACCCTAAAATAGAACCCTGAGGAAACCCGCAAATTATTGAGCGTTTACCTGTTACTTTTGAATCATAGCATATGAGTTGTTTTCTGTTTGTTAGATAGTCTTTGAACCAAAGTAAATTTTTGTTTCTAATGCCATAATTTTCAAGTTTAGTGAGTATATCATGGGTTAATGTATCAAAGGCTAAGAACAGATTAATAAAATCTCTTTATGTAAAATAATCGTTGTTTAGAACGTCAGGTATAGCTCGACTACAGCGTGTTCAGTTAAATGCAATTTTTCGTAACCGAACTATTTTTTGTAAAGGCATGTCTTTCTTTGTTAGATAGTTGTAGAGTCTATTGTACATTATACGCTCAAGTATTTTAGAGAAACAAGGCTAGATAGAAATTGATCTATAGTTTGAAATAAGGGAGTTAATTCCTCCTTTAAAAATAGGTGTATTACGGCCAATTTTTAAATTATCATGAACAATACTCGAATTCAAAGAACGTTTTAAAACATGAAATAACGATAGCTCAATGACATCAAATACAGATTTTACAACATTGACGCTAATTTTATCAAAACCTGCGCTTTTTTTTTAAGGCTGTTAAAAGCATTACGTTATTCTCAAAATTTAAGATCAGTTTCGTCCATTTGAGTACTAAACCTTTTTAAATATGAACTAGAACTTGATGAGCTCAGCGGAATGGTTTCAGCTAAGTTTGGCCCACTTTTAACAAAATAATATCTTACGGATATTATATGTAAAATATAATACCTGTAATGTATACATTCCGTAAGATGTTAACAGTATATATCTTTACTGTTAATCTCTGGACATATTTTCGCGTCACGGTAAGAAAGGAGGGCGTGAACTTCCTGGTTAAATGCACTTCCACGGTACTGTGTGACAAATCCATTAGGTCTTCTTGGGGCACCTAAATAACAAAAAAATAATAATAATAAAAAAAAAAATAAAATAACCTTCAGTCGGTTATTATTTTAAACATGCAAAATATTTCTGTAAAATATCTGGTCTGCAATATAAACGATTAGATAATTTAAAAAAGACGAAAGATCTAACTGTGGATTTCAAGTAACCTTTTAAAATTTATTTAAAATGTAAAGAGCCTATCAAGATTTTAAACGTTTTATAATTTAACATAATATAATTACAATTTATTATGGAATCCTAACTTTAGCTTTAATTTCAAGACTTGTGAAATCTCAAGTTTTTGATTGTTATTTTTAAGTGAAAACTTTGCTCGGTGCTGGAACTATTTTAGCTATTTAAAAGACATTTAAACAACAGACAACTCCTCGAGGAAGTAGAAGAAAAAGAGCTACATCTAACAGCATCTAATCTTTTGTTTATTTTTACTTATTAAATATGGAACATTAAAATTTTGAGTAAAAAAGCATTTTTTTTTTTAAGAAATTTATGGGTTTGCACACTTTAAAAGTGTTTAAACTCTAAAAAGCTTTAACTCTTTTGATCTATAATGGTGTCCGGATTAAAGCATTTTTTTAACTTTATTAAAAAAGATTTGAAGCAAACTGACTGAGTAAAATCTCAAACAATTTTAAAAAGAGATTTTTTTAAAGTCTTCAATTCTGTATAAACAAATAAAACAACAACAACAAAAAATTAAAGAAATTTTTTAAAACACCAGCAGAAATAGTTGTATTAAACAAAAATATTTTTTCATTTTATTTTTCTTTCACTTAATACCGAAGTTAAAGAAAGTCAAATAATTACTATTTGTTGTTGGTATTGTTTTTTTTGCCATGTAAATATTTGGTAACATATTAACATAAAAAAATGACATAAATGGACTAGTAAATTGTACTTATTCATATTTTTTATCGACTGACTGCCGAGCATCCGATTTTACTCCGTTTCATAAAAGCACAACACTGTGGACCAGAGATGAGTTTAGGTTTAATGGAGTGTCACTCAAGTGAAACCTTTTTTATTCAAGAGTATTTGTATTATAACAATAAAAAAGAGATTTTTTAAAATCCGAATAAATTGCTAAGGGTCATAAATGGGGCAAAAGGGTAAACACAAGGGGGGCATAAGCCCATTTATGTGTGCTAGTTGCAAATTACAAAAAAAAAATTGATCAAGCGTATTTGTTTCATAAAAATAGAAAATAGCGTTTTTAGGGTTAAAAAAGAATGCTAAGGGTCACAAATGGGGCAAAGGGTAAAATTGAGGGGGACATAAGCCCATTTTACCATTTTAGGTGTCCGTTAAATTTTTCTTTTAAAAATAAATGTCAAATAAGTTAAACAAAATATTAGGCAACAAAAAAATTTAAAATTTTATAATACTACTGTAAATATTTTACATAATCCAACAAAAAGTGAGTAATTGTTCTTCCGGGTCTTGAGTAGTATGTCAAAGTTAATGATAAATTAAACTCTTCTTCCATTGAGGCTTATTCAAAGTTGATTCACGCATTGAGTATGCTTTTTTAAAAGTGTAACTTTAGTCTGTGTAGGTTTAAGTCTAGAATAAACAGTCCATACTGTTCGGAAAACTGACAATAAATTGTTCAGCAAACTTGGATGATGGAAACCTTGGTTCAATAGGAAAGAATTTTTTAATAAAGCAAATAATAACTTGTTCTTATTCGAAAGAGGTAGAACAAAACAAGAGTTTTTTACTATTTTAATGTATTTTATACACTAAAATATAGGTCTATACTGAGTAAACTAAGACGTAAAGTAGTATTTGAATACTAATTTCTGTCTATTCAAGACAGTTTGCTCAACAATGTGGAGAGTTTATTTTAAATTTGAACACACATGAAGAAGCTTTAAACCTAAAGAAGAATTCTGATGTTACTTTTAATGGAAGAAGAGTTTAATTTATCATTAATCATGACATACTGCTCAAGACCCGGAAGAAACAATTATTCACTTTTTGTTGGATTATGTAAAATATTTACAGTAATATTAAAAAAATTTTAATTTTTTTTGTTGCCTAATATTTTGTTTAACTTATTTGACATTTATTTTTAAAAGAAAAATTTAATGGGCACCTAAAATGGTAAAATGATCTTATTTCCCCCTCAATTTTACCCTTTGCCCCATTTGTGACCCTTAGCATTTTTTTTTAACTTTAAAAACACTATTTTCTATTTTTATGAAACAAATACTCATGATTAAAACTTTTTTTTGTAATTTGCAACTAGCACACATAAATGGACTTATGCCCTTCTTGTGTTTACCCTTTTGCCCCATTTATGACCCTTAGCAATTTATTCGGATTTTAAATATTCTCTTTTTTATTGTTATAATACAAATACTCTTAAATAAAAAAGGTTTCACTTGAGTGACACTCCATTAAACCTAAACTCATCTCTGGTCCACAGTGACAATTTAACGTGAGAAAAAATATGCTTAAATGCATTTTTTTGTCTACTTTTTGTCTACTTAATTTACCGTAAGGAAAAGTGCAAAAAATGCATTTAAGCATATTTTTTGTGTTCTACTTTCATGTGACGGAAAAAACCGGATGCGCGGCACTCAGTCGAAGTTTGACGACTTCTGTCAGGTGTAAATGTTTGTTTACAAAAACAGCAAAAAATGTCAACTAGGACCATACAGTTATTTGTTCAAATTGAAAATAAAACTGTTCAAATTAGTGCTGAGGAAAGTTGGTCAATATTGCAGCTGAAACAACATTTGTATCTCTACTCAAATACTCCAACTGAAGATCTTCGCGTTATATTTGCGGGAACTGAACTAGCCAATTCAGTTTTATTGAAAGTATGCAATTTTGGTTTTAATAATAATTTTTATATTGAAAAATATTCTTAATTTTACAAATACTTGTACCCTGGCTGTTTAGCTAATTCTAACCTCTTTTTTTGAACAGAAATAGTCACATTGTTTCCTTTGTTTAAAATTTTTTTGTAAATAGGTCTATTCAACACATTGATTTAATCCTTAAACATCAGCATTACAAAAAATAATATGTGGTAAAGTTCGAAAATCTATTATGCTATGTTAGGTGGAAAGTAAAAACATTTTCTGCATAAACATCAGAGTTTATTCTTCTTTGTAAAATTAAAATTTAGAATTTTTTTGAAATCCAGATAAATTCTATAAAAATGAGTATCCTATTTGATTATCTGGAGTCTTAAAGAGGTAAACTTATGGAGCACTTTCTGGAGTCTTGCGAAGGTAATATTTTTACAAAAAAAAAAGTTCACAGGATGTTTTCAAAATTTGTTTCATTTTTTTAAATAAAATTTTTAATCCTCATGACACCAGGAAGAATGCTGTTAAGCTTTTAGAGTACTTTGTAACTTTGTCAAGAGTATTAGGAAATGGTTTTTAAGGATTGAACCCTTGATTTTTGATTCTCTTTACCATATTTCTAAAATATGTTTCCTCCAGATTTTTAAGCATCTTAAAACAGCAACATCAATCTGTTGCAGCAGAGTTATGGCATTTATAAGTTCATTTTCATTTTCCCTTTGATGACATCAAATGAAAAATATAAGTCTAAATTATCTCCAATAATGATCTGCCAGGTTGCCAAGAATTTGTACCATCTTTTCTTGGTATCAGTTTTTTTATTTATCTTAAACATTTTGCATTGCTGCTGTTGAATACAACACATTTGAACAACCACCTGGTTTACATTTTTAAGTAATTGTTTATATATATATATATATATATATATATATATATATATATATATATATATATATATATATATATATATATATATATATATATATATATATATATATATATATATATATATATATATATATATATATAGAGAGAGAGAGAGAGAGAGAGAGAGAGAGAGAGGGGGAGAGAGAGAGAAAATGGTTAAAGTGAGAGGGGGATGTTGTTCCTCTTTAACTGACAAATCATGAAATCATTCTGCTTCTTATTATATTTTTTTGCAACCAGATCCAATAAGATCATCCATAAATAAGTGATAAGTGATGAAAATTATCTTCTACATTAATAAATGTAGAAGATAATTTTCACTTTTGCGCTATGATTTTATTGAAGTTAAACAGCTATTTTTGGTTTAATATAAGACTTGCAGAGAGTCTTATATTTAATTATTCCAAGATATAAAATTACTCCAATCAATGAACTGTGAAAATTATTCCAAGTAATGAACTGTGTTCCATCATGCTTTATGGCATGTGCTCCATCATGCCTTATGGCAAAAATTTTGATTCGCAGTTAACCTCATTAACAAAGGAAATATGTAAGCACAAAGAAAATATGTAAGCACAAAACCCAGAAGTTTCCTCAGCTAGTTGGATGCCATTGCTTGAATTATCGTCTTGAGCTAGCTGTAAGTGTTGCATTTAAAACATGCGTTGTGGTTAACCATTTCAAGTGCTTCAATGATACTTTTGCTTTATACAGCACTCAGTCTTTAAAAAACAAGAGAGAGCTTTCTCCAGCAGTAGTTGAGGTGGAAGCTTGTCTTCTTAAGGTAAGGTGAGTTCTCAGTAAACTATCGGTTGTCTCATCATTTCAAACTGTAAAAGCTGTTTTGCACAACTTTTTAGCTTTATATTTGTATTTCATAAATGCTTCAGTTGATCCAACAGAGGACTCAAAGGAGAGAGCTAAATTTGAAAGCCTTACACAAAAATTTGCAAGTGTAAAGTTTCTTAAAAAGGTGGCATTAATATATGATGCATTTGAAGAACTCAAATCAACTTCAGAAGTTCTATAATTAAAAAATGTCACACTCACAAAGCAATTCATGTTATCTCTCGTCACATATCTAACTTTGAAGGGAAAATATTTGAAAGAAGTCTCAAGGTTTCAGAAGTCAAACTGGCCATTGATAATGGTATTTTCGAAGATGTGATTATATCAGAAGGTAGAAAACATCCTTTAATTGATCATGAAAATCATATCATACCCTAGTGCAATGCTATGAGCCATACTCATGGCCACGAAGAGAACAAAATGAAATACAAATTTCTCAAAAGTATTCGGAAATTCTTCTGAAAGGATTATGGAATTTTCTGCTTGATGATTTTTTTTTAACAAAATAGGACTTTCATAACTTTAAGGATCATTTTAATGGTCAGGAACATGTACCCGTTTCATGTAATCGTATTTTCCGAACATCAGAGCAACTCAGATTGCTAAGATTAAAATGTTTATTATCAATCATCATACCTGTGAGTAATGAAGAATGTGAATAAGGCTTTTTGATCGTGAATATCATCTGCACAGATGTACAAAGCATGTTGTCAGTTAAAGCATAAATCATCATTGATGTTCATCAGCATCGAAGGTCCTCCACTAAAAGAATCCCAGCGAAAGGAGTATGCAAAAGAATAGGTGAATGTAGGTAGATTGTAGGAAGGACAATGAAGAAAAGAAAATCAATTAACTAAAATAAAATCATTTTGGAAAATGCTATAGTTTTGTGAAATATTCAATACATACTATTTTATATTTATTTAATAATGAACATAAATATTTCTTGTTTGTGCTATTACGTTTCTGTTTGAACAAAAGAAATTAGCTCATTTCAGAACTTTTTTCCCTAATATAAGCATTTAATTTAGGCATATGATAAAAGCAAATATTGTGGACAGAAATAGTAATTTTGGTAATCACGTGAGACCTCGAAATACAGTAAAATTGCACTGAACAAAAATGCACCTACAGTAAAAACTTGAATGAACCAATTTTGGTCAAGGCGAATGTGGTATTCCTTATCCCCTTGAACACACTTTAAACTTTTTAACACCTTTTTAACAACTTTTAACTTATTCCACTTGGTTTCCTATTCTACTTTAATGACTGTACATTAGTCCATCTCATTTTGATCCTCGTGAACAAATTTTATTTTCCTGAGTGTCATAAAATATTCCTAAGGTAATGTTTTCCTGATGAAATTTTTTTAAGTTTTATTTTGGATGGCTATTTATACTTGTGCCACTCTTTTAAAGTTTAAATTTTTACATTTTTTAAATGTATTTTAAACAATCGGCGCAAAAAGAAATTTACAAATCATTAACTACATAATAACTGGTGATATTTTAAAAATACACAAATTCGTTACAAACTTAAAAAAACATGGTTTTTAAACACGATAGAGTTGAGGCCCAATGCACAGCAATTAGAAATTTGTTAGATGCTTTTGTTCTCATAAAGTTCCCACTTTAAGCCCTGGCTATTTAAACGTTTTGTACAGGATTAGCTAAGTTTCTTGGCCGACCATTATTCTTGTTAACCTTCTGCCGTCATGTCGAAGAGCTTCATATAGATGTTGCAGTAAGTAAAACTGTTAAGCCAGAGAGTAGAATATTTATACATAAAACCATAACATAAAACCATAAAAGGTTAAAGAATAGTAAGCTTAAGATAAAAATATTCACGTTCACAATGTTTCACATTAATTGATTTTCATGAAATTCAAGCTGCATTTCTTTAAATCAGGCATTTTTTTATACTGAGTAATAAAATACTCAAAGAAATCAATAGAATGCCTAACTTCATTTTTCTCTCCAGGGCATTGTGGTTTTTGACCTGCAATTTTTCTGATTGTGCAATTTTTAAAGTAAAAATTAATTTCATAAGTTTTGATATTTTAGTCTTATTATTTAGAAATAATATATGTCATAAAGTTACAAATTGTGTAAAAACAATGGTTTGCAAAATGGTTTAAAATCAGATGTAAAATACAAAGAATAAAACTCTAAACCAAGGTTTTTTTCTAATGACAGACTTTTCTTAAAATCAGTAGAAATATTATAAAAACTTTTAAGAAAATTTGTTTGATCCAAGGCTTCAGTGACAATATTTAAGAAAAAACAATAACATCATTTGATACCAAAATGAGATAAAAAGCATAAAGTTTGTTGTATGACTGAAAAAAAGCTCAAAGATCAACAAAAAATCACTTTACAATAGCCAAAGTGTTAATTTATCTATCGTAATCAGTAAAAGATAGGTACAACATATTTCTTAAATTAATAAGTACAAGATTTTTTTGGTACAGGAACACATTAAGAAAATATTGTTGAACAAATTACCTGGATTTGACATCAGAATTTATTTGCACCAATGCTTGGAAATTGCTCTAAATTTAGTCAAAAATTATAACAAGTGTAACTTCGAAATACTTCTATCAAGAAAAAATAGATTTTTTTTTAATAAATATAACCTCTATGCCACTCATTAGGCATTCCGCATAAAAATTGGTTGTTGAAAAAAAATTATGGGATTGGCTACTGTATGTATATGAATATATAGCTCAGGTTTAAGTTGGTAAAGTATATACTATTTCTTATATCAGAGCATATCATTAAAAGTTATTACAAAATTTATTTACATGTAAATTTATGGTTTACAAGAAATTACATATTTTTATGTAAACATGTGTTTTTAGTTTCTTAAATTTAATGTTTTAAAGACTATATGAGATAGTAATGAAAGAGTGAGGAGAGGGAGATTAGGGAAGAGACAAGAGAAAAGGAAAGTAATGAAAGAGTGAGGAGAGGGAGATTAGGATTTCACATTATAATTTCAAAGTAATTTTCTTTTTAGAACTGTCATTTTGCATGTGGGACAACTGTTCATGCAATTGTTGTAAAATCAAAAGGTAATTCTTTTGCTCCTGTGGTCCCAACAAATTTCATAGGGCCAACACCACAAGGAATAGCTACAAATCATAATGGTAAGTTTATAATGATATTAGTCTTGAAAATAATTATTCAAGTATTATTGAACATAGTAAGTAATTTTTGTATGATTTCCAAGAATAATAGATTGTCTTGCACATATTTATAAATATAAAAATATATATACATTTTATATATGCTTTTAATATACTTTATATATACATTTGTGTATATAAAGATTTTACACTTTGGGATACCACAGATGGTATAAAATTACAATATTTATTGTTATATAAATTCAAAGTAAACATTGTTTTGTAACCTCGCCATAATGTTTTGTTAAGGTTATGAGTTTTTTTTGTGCGAAACATCTGTGACAATCCTTTATTTATAGCAGTTAGGATATATATATTTTTCACAAATTATTTATCATTTTATACTTTGGTTTGTTTGCTAAATTTAGACCAAATAGATGAAACAAAACGATCAAGATTTTATTTGTTTTGTAAAAATTGCAATGCTGTAAAAATTGGAAAATTGCGTGTTCGTTGCAAAAAATGTAAAGATGAAGCTTTCGAATTGTCAAAGGTTTCAATAAATTAGAAGTAATCAAAGTTAATAATGAAATAAAAATTTTGTAATCAAAAAATTTTTATTTTTTTAATTTGATCATAAAAGGGTCCTGATTCTTGGATTGACATTCTGACTGTTAATCGAATTACTGGATTATGTAATTCACAAAATGATTGTGATGGAAATATTGCAGTAAGAATGTATTTTTATAAAAGAAACTTTTAAAATTATTATATCTTTTTAAAATATTTTCTTTTTTTATATGTGATCTTAGTGGTTTTATAACATTTTTGTGGGTATTTAATATGGAAATATTTTAGCCTGCTCAAAATTTACAAAGAAGGACTATTTCTGTCTTGTGTTGAAACAAACAGAAACTATTTCTGTCTTGTATTAAAACAAATAGAAAAAGAAATAGAATATTGTACAATTTTATTATAGGAGTTTTATTTTAAATGTGAAAACCATGAGAGAAGTTTAAATGACTCTGAAAATGTAATTGCTCTTCCGTTATTACGTACAAATACACAAAGTGTGCCATGCCTAGCATGTACTGATATAAGGTATGTTGTTGTTGTTTATTTTATTTTTTTGCATCTATTCCATAATAATAACTCCATCCATAATGACACTACAATTAAATACTAAGACATTTCTATTAAATATTTACTAATAAAATATATGATATTATTTTTCTAAAATTTGTAATCAATATATATATATATATATATATATATATATATATATATATATATATATATATATATATATATATATATATATATATATATATATAATATATATATATATATATATATATATGTTATATATATATACATATATATATATATATATATATATATATATATATATGTTATATATATATACATATATATATATATATATATATATATATATATATATATATATCTATATATATATATATGTTATATATATAAGTTATATATATATATATATATATATATATATATATATATATATATATATATATATATATATATATATATATATATATATATATATATATATATATGCATATATATGTTATTTAAAGATTAACAAGATAAAGAAAGTAAAAGAAATAGCTTAAAAGCAAAAAATGATTGACAAAAGGTTTAAAAAGCTGTAAATTATATTAGACAGCAAAACATGAAGACAGGACAGAATTTTAAAGCATTGTTTAAGATGAAAAAAATAGACAAATTAATAGATAAAAAAAGTTTCTGAGCATAAAGAATAATAAATCAAATCTAGGCTCCTAGATTTGTTTTCCTAGACCGCCTAGGCTAAGATTTTACCAGTAAGCAAAAAATTTCAGTTGACCAGCCTTGCACCACTTTTTTTAGTTAATAGATTTAAGTCTGTGTTATGTTTTAAAATTTATTATTCAAAATTTTTGTTTTTTTCTTTTTTTCTCTCCCAACTGTACTTTTTTTTTATCATTTTTTTTTTCATAGCTTTTTACCGCTAATGAGAAGTCATTGTAATGAATAAAATATTTTTAAATAAATTCAAAATTATCAAATGCGTGTTTGCACTTTTTTCTCTTTCTTTCTATTATTGAATTGTAATAGAATCATCAAATTTCAACCATTCTTAAGGAAGGCAAGTAAAAAGAGACAAACAACTTTTGTTTTTCAATATCATTTCATAAAATGATTTCTTATAGTATTAAGTTTTCAGTTTAGATTTTTTTATTATTGTATAAAATTTGCTTTGATATTAAAAAAAAATTATACATTAAATTACTTGGATATTATCAAACTTCTTTTTTTTTAATTAAATGAAAAACTCTGCACATAAGCATTATTTTAAACAAATTAACATTAGCGGGTAAATTGAAAGTTATTTATTGCAAGTTTAAATTTTAAAAATGCATTGATTTTATTTAAAGTTATTTTAAAAAGACTACTAGTTTGTTAATCATCAAGCAATAAGTAATTTATGTGTGTTTAGTTTCATTTATAAAGAACTATTACTATAAAAAAACAATTGATCTTCAATTCCATGTGTTAGCTAGTCAAAATGACCGCTTGTTTTTTTATTTTTTTTATTTTCCACGCTGCATCATCTTACCAAAAAATCAAGTTTATTTATTCTGAAATGTAAGCAACAAACTCACCAAATAATGCAGCTCAAATAAATCAATTAAAAAAGCAAAAAGCAAAAGATATTACTGGATTTGTTTGACATATAAAATAGTTATGGAGAGACATAACTTAAGAATTTATAAATATTGTCTTAGATTAAATGTTGTATACTTATTTAATATCTTGGTATAAATAAAGCATTAATGTCTTGCTCTAAATTGTGTAAACTTATCTATGATAATAAGGGTCATGAAATTGAACATTTATGGAAAACAAAAATTAAGTATAAAAAAATATTGCTCTTTAAAAATGTTAATGTCACATGATTGTAATAAATTTTAAAATTATTTTGTGATAAATAATTCAAGCTTATTAATTGATAAAATATTCGAGATATTTCTTAAAGTATAAATAACATAATAACAATATGTAACTATCATTCAGTTTACATGATTTTAACCATTAAAAACAGATTCTAAATTTATGATTTTATTGCATTTGTGTAATTGTATCTACAAGTTTTATGATTTAAATATTTCAGTGTAAAATGCCCATAAAAGTTGATTACCTTGTAAACTACTTTGCACTGGGTAAGAAATAAGAAATGAAATAAGAACTAACAAATGTTTATAACATTTGTTAGTTGTATACTCCCAAAATTGGATGTTTTCTCTTTCTTTTTTAAATACACTTTAAAAACTAAATGTTTTTTTTTTGTTATGGAATATACTCCCAAAAGATATTTATTATATTAAATCGTTAATTTCAGTGAATTTGAAACATACAATATACTTATAATCATATAAAGTTAAAATAAACTTATAAATATAAAATACATGTTTGATAAAAACTGCGTTTTTTTTAATCAACTGTGACATAAGATTTTTTTTTAATTTTAAATTAGATTTCTTTATATTTTTGAGATATAAACCTAGTTTAAATAAGATATTTTTGATTTGAAAAAGAAATCTCATATAAGTTCAATTAAAAACTGATGTAAAATATTTAAATCATAATTAAATCTGAAGATTTAAAAAATTTGTTGGCAACAAAATTTCAGATTGAGAGTGAGTTTCAGAGTGACTTACTGTTAATTATAGCGTAATTTCAAATTAATTAAAGACTCCAATAAATTTATTGATTCTGATGCTTTCTGATTGGATAATTTGAAAAGGAAAACCAGTTAGCTTTTTTTTTTTTAAGTTTCTAGTTTATTTTTAATGCTCGAATAATTTAAGTAATTTTTTCAACTGCTGCTGATGAAGCAATAGCAGTAATAATTTTAAGATACAATTGTTATTTTCCACCAATCACAAAACTATAAAATCTAGTGATTTCCACCAATCACAAGATTTTATAGTTTGAGCATTTTATCTTTGAGTATAAACTTATAAAATGATGTAGCTTTTGTTTTGAAATTAACTATAGAAAATCAGAGTTCTTTAAAAATACTAAAATCGTTTTTATCTCTATTTTTTATTCAGTTCTACTTCTGTATTTAGTTTTAAAACATGTCCATTGTAATGTCTTCTTATTTATTGTAAGAAAGAAAATTGCTTTTATATTTATTTGACATTTATTTCTATATCTATATATTAAGTTGTTACAACTAATTACTATATCTATATATTAAGTTGTTACAACTAATTACTATATCTATATATTAGGTTGTTACAATTAATTACTAATCTATATATTAAGTTGTTACAACTAATTACTATATCTTTATATTAAGTTGTTACAATTAGTTACTATATCTATATATTAAGTTGTTACAATTAATTACTATATCTTTATATTAAGTTGTTACAACTAATTACTATATTAACTGTATGTAGTCTTCTAGGGACGTTATTTCAACCATCATTGAGTTTAGTGCTACGGTTTTATAGTGAGACTTTCTCGTTCAAAATTAATTTCTTAGGGAATACTTTAGCAATCATTTTCCGTGTGATTATCTCCATAATATGATATTCTCTAAAGGAAACTGCTTAATGCTATGAAGTAAAAAGTTTTTAAATAGCCAGTTATTAAATGAAAGAGTTGTTTTAATTAAAAAATAAAAAAATAAAAAAAATAAAAGTTGTTTTAAATAAATGAACTCAACTCATACATGAAAGAAATAATTTATATTTGTTAAATGATTCGTAACAAAAATAGATTTAATAAAATTAATGTAATTATTTATGTATATGTAGAGTTAATGTGGTTGCACTAATTTATACAATAACTTAAATGTATATAAGTTATTTTGTTTGTTTTTTAAAGAAATGTTATAATATAAATGAAATATATAATATTGTCATATGAATAATCATATGGCTAGCATAATAATTTATGTTTAAATGCTTTAAAGAGATATTTTTTGTGCATTTAAAGTAGATTAAATATTAAGTAAAATTAGATTTTTCTTTATCAGATTTGATTCAATTTCAATAAAAGCAACCCTGATATTTTAACCCTGATTTAATATATTTTAAAATATACAATATAGAGTAAAATAGGGTCAAATGAAATAGTTAAGGATTTTAATTATTAATTTTTTACGGGAAAAAGATTTTTCCTTTTTTTTTTTTTTTAAAAGTTGTAGAGAGTATTGAACTATTTTGAGTATTTAAATATATGAAATTTTAACAATTTTTTTGTAAAGTTTTTTATGAAACTTTATTTGATCAAAAAAAAAATTATTATATTCTACACTAACATTCGGGGAGAATGAAATACGCAAATATAAGTGTAATTAAAACAACAATTTATTAAAAAAACAAAAAAGCAATCAATAATAACGATTAAAAAAACAATCAGTAATAACAATTAAAAAAATCAATCAAATAAAATAAACTTTTTTTGTTCTTGTGATGAAATTGAGCCGTTTAGAGGTACTAGAGGTTGAGTTAAGTTTTCACTTATGCGGCACTTTTTGTAGCAATAAAACTCAGCACCTTTTACGTATCGCTTTGGTATGCATGTTTGACATAGCCAAACCTTGCAATTTGAATTTTCACACTGGTACCATTCCATAATTTGACTTGATGAAGTTTCGCCCAAAACCTTTTGGCAGTTTTTACACTTGAATTGGTTTGCAGCTAATATTTTCGTTGGACTTGTTGCTTGGTTTATTTGCTGTTCTCCATTAGAGCTAAGCTTAGGTTATTTTTTAGCTTGCTTTGCTGCTTTTTTGCTCTCAGCATCTTATAACCTTTCAAGTATTTCAAGTTTGTTGAGACACTACCCTTAGAATCTTTGCACCTCTACATTTTTTGAGGTTGTTGAGATAATGAAGGTTCAGGTTCAGGTCTCAGTGTTTTAAATGTATTAGAAATTTGTAACTTTGATTGATCGGTTTTATCGATGTTGAATGGAAACAAGCCAGTATTCTGAAACCCAGTGACTATCTGGGTACGCGAAAAAACTTCACCAGAGCTGAAATGTTTTTTTTTTCAGGTGACTGAAACATTCTTTTGATAAGTTGCTAAACTTTGTCTCTGCATAAAACTGTTGAAGTAATTTGCGCCAAATTATTTTGACATGGCAATAAATACCAACATCTAGTGGCTGTAGAATGTGCGGCGAGTGAGCTGGTAAGCAAATTAACAAAAGAGTAACTAGAAAATTTCATTCATTTATTAGAACCATTTTATAAAAGCAGTAAGTAAAAGTCATTTAAATTCAGTTAGAAAAATTCGTTCATTGAAATTAATACAAAAAATTTATTAAAATTTATGGATATTTATTGGTCACTTGATACCTAATAAAAAAAAATGCCGCTTTTAAGAAATAAGCTATTGCTTCGTATTTATTTATTTATTAGCGTATTTCATTCAACCTCGCAACACTCAGTTTCCATATTTAACTCATAACTTTTTTTCCTAAATTGCAAATTTAATTTTGAAAAAAGATTCTTGATCAGCATAAAAAGTTGTATCAGTAAACATTTTAAGTTCAATGATACCGAATTTAATTTACGAGAGTTTTAAGTTCCCTTTTCAAACAAAGAAAAAAAATATTATTATGCATTCGAAAATTTATAAATTTAAAACAAAATTTTTTTAATTAAAAATAAAATTTTATGCAATTTTACTGAGAAAAATATTTTCTACAATATAATCAAAAAATATTTACAAAAAAATTATTCAATAGTTAATTAAAAGCGAAAGAATAAACATTGTCATAACAAAATAGTTATGACAATGTTTATTCTTTCGCTTTTAATTAACTATTGAATAATTTTTTTGTAAATATTTTTTGATTATATTGTAGAAAATATTTTTCTCAGTAAAATTGCATAAAATTTTATTTTTAATTAAAAAAATTTTGTTTTAAATTTATAAGTTTTCGAATGCATAATAATATTTTTTTTCTTTGTTTGAAAAGGGAACTTAAAACTCTACCCATTATTTCATTTTACTCTGTTTTACTCTACTCAATAATAAATTAGTAAAAAGCCACTTATCAAATGTTTTCATTAAACACTGTGTTTCATCAATCAAAACTCATCAGAAATGTTCAAATTAATAAAACTTCAGTTTATAACAAAAATTAAATTATAGGAAGTCATAAATGTCTTAGCTACTGTAAATTTTCATACATTTGTAGAATATACTGACACAATTATAAAAAGAACTCTTTAGAATTGTTTACTTCTGCTTAAATATACTTTTAAAGGATTTAATGTAATTATTTTTTGAGCTCACTTATTTTAATAGTTTTTTAAGAGAAACTTTTCATGCCTGCAAATTAGAAATTATACCAATTTTTTGTTTCTTGGTTTGCATGTGTAACTACTTTAAATTTTTCTTGTAGACATAATATGCATTTTTTGGAAATATTATTATATGCAGGTGCTATTTTAAGGATGGACCAATTCAATATAAAGTTATCAATATTTTTATCTTTCAAATCCCATATGTGTTTTGACAGCATGGTATCTTTTGAATACTTTTTATTTTTAAAGGATTGTTTATGGTTGGCAAAACGTTTTTTCCATTCACCTTCTGTTTAGCCAATATATTGTTTATCAGGTACATCTTAGAGAAAACAACACATTTATATACCATATATATACTTTATTTTAAACTTTTATTTATATCTTTACACATTTTTTGAAACCATTTTGTTTTTCTAAGCATTTTTGTTTGTTACAAGTCACATTCTATTAGCTTGAGCTTTGAAACAGTCTATTATTTAAATAAAGTGTTTCAAGGAAACAGTCTTGAATAGTTTTGAAACAGTTTTGAAATTGTCTTTTTATCTTGTCTAAGATAATAAATTCATTATCTTAGACAAGATAAATTATTATTTAAGCAATTTTTATATTAAAGCATGCATTAATTTATAGTGGCGTAGTGCTTGTATTTCCATGTGAAGAAAAACATGTTATCTGTATTGATTGTTTTTCATTGTACTGTGAAACAAGCTTAAACACAAGACATTTTATATTAAAAGAAAATATTGGCTACACTCTTCCTTGTCCTGGATTTGAAGGTTTAAATTTTTCAATTTTTTTTCAAATCAATAACTTATTAAAATCCTTTTTAACTATTAAATCGTATTTTTAATTTAAAAACTTCATTCTTAAACTTTCTTATGAGTTATTTATCTATAAAGATTTGTATCACTCTAAATATCGTTGTATCTATTATGCAAAATTGTATTCAATATAGTGCTATATTATAGAGGCATGCAATAAATGTTTTATTGAAGAAATTCATCACTTTATAATTGCTGGCAAAACCCAAGTATGTTTAAAGCTATTTTGATCGATACATTTTTGTTATTCATAACTAAATATCATATCATATAAATGTATATATATATATATATTTATATATACATATATATATATATATATATATATATATATGTGTGTATATATATATATGTGTGTGTGTATATATATATATATGTGTGTGTGTATATATATATATATGTGTGTGTGTGTATATATATATATATATATATATATATATATATATATATATATATATATATATATATATATATATATATATATATATATATATGTATATATATATATATATATATATATATATATATATATATGTATATATATATATATATATATATATATATATATATATATATATAGCACCCCATTGCGAGTCAGGCTATAAGATAGTTAATGTAGCAACACTACGCACATGTTTTACAGTTAAAACATGTGCGTTTATAAAAATAAAAAACATTCAGAATGTTTTATTTAAAACAAAAACAAAAAAAACATTCAGAATGTTTTAAATTAATGCGTTTTGACATAATCTATCCTTAATTTTGTCAACTTTAATACTACAAACAAGCTAAGAGCCATGTTTTACCACAAACTGAGTATCTAAGCCCTTTACCATAGGAATATATATATATATATATATATATATATATATATATATATATATATATATATATATATATAAATATATATATATATATATATATATATATATATATATATATATATATATATATATATATATATATATATATATATATATATATATATAGCATGCAAGATTAACCTTGGCATAACCTAGTGGTTTTTGCTGACAGTATTTTTTAGTATTTGGATAAATTGCCTTGGCAAAAAAGTGTAGAGGCAACAAGTCTGCAAAGCGCTATAAGTTGCGATAAGTGAGAAATGATTGTTTGGCTGCAAAATACATTAATTTAGGTTAGATTTTTTTCCAACTTTTTTGTGTTGACTTATAGACAAAATCATAAAAATAATCAAGAAGACTAAATAAATTTAATTGCTTATTAAAAAACCCCAAAATTTATGACTAGAAATTTTTTAAAAAAGAATATACAGTGAGTGCACATACATCAACTGAGGGTTTTGACTTGGTCAGGCAATCTATCAGTTAAAAGAAAAATCTAAAGTTTTTGAACTTTTTTTGGTCTGGTTTATTAGTGTTAGCCTTTTATTGGTGTTAGTTTTGAATCTGAATAAAATGTATCATACGTTTTCTGTAACCTGCGTTTAAATATTGACCGTTTTCCAAATTCATCAAATATTGCTTTATTTTTACTTATTGATATTGTTTCTAAAATAGAATTGGATTTAAAATCAGCTCAATATGTAGAAAAAACCTTTATATGTAGAGAAAAAACCAATTATTATTACATTACAAATTTTTCAATTTGAATTTTGAATTTATAGATTTGTATTGAATCACTTTCCAGAAATATAAACTGAAACATCTTAGATTCTGGGTATGTTCTTCAGTTAAAAGTAGCTTGGACATATCAGGTTTATTGATAAGATCGAGTTTCTCATTATTGATGGGATCATCACATTGTATACTATCTTCATTAAATATAACTATACTAGGCTCAGTTTGGTGTTTGTTTACTTGGTCACAGTGTGCCAATGTACCTTAAGAATATTCCTCAATATGATTGTGTTTTGCCAAGTTTTAGAGATAAATAAAGCAGGTTCGGGTTTTAAATCTGGTGATACCATTACTATACTTTTTACATATTTTTCAACATCTTGACAGTAGCCAGACTGCCAAGCTTCTAGCTTTAATCTACATTGATTTAGCATTGTTCCACAGTATATGTTATAATGGATTGGTTTGATGAACTTACTTCTTATTATTTTAGGAGGTACAATAAAATCATTACATACAATTCCCTTTTCAATAGTCAATTTATTGGAGCATCTGCTCCAATTATTTCTGCTACTTCTGGTTTTGTATCTATCAATACTCTATCATTTTCTGTTTATTTTATTATCTGCTCAAGGACTTCACTAAGTTTAAAAAGGTTTCGAAATGTTCTTTTCTTCATCTTGTGGTAGAAAAGACAATCTTGATAAAGCATCCCCATAAAGAATATTTTTTCTTTTTTTATAGCTGATAATGTAGTCAAATGCCATTATTTGCAGGGTTTAAATTTAAAATTTTAGCAGATGTTACTTTTGGCAGGTGATCTGATCATCTGATATTAGTCCTTACAATAGCCAACACTTCTCTCTCTATATAAGAATATCTTGTTTCAACATCTGGTAAAGATCGGGAGAGATACAATACATGATGACCATTTTGTAAAAGTATTCCAAATATTGCTTTCTCACTGGCACCACTAAAATATGATTAATAGACAAATAACATTATGTAGCATCTTTTTTTGTATAGGCCATTTATTTATATATATATATATATATATATATATATATATATATATATATATATATATATATATATATATATATATATATATATATATATATATATATATATATATATATATATATATATATATATACATATATATATATATATATATATATATATATATATATATATATATATATATATATATATATATATATATATATATATATATATATATATATATATATATATATATATATATATATATATTTATTATATAAAATCACCACTTATATATAAAAACACTGTTACTGTTTGTCTGCAAATAACAAAGTTTTGCAGCCTTGCAGACATAATTATAAATCTACAATTTATACATTTTGATGTTTTCTTTGATTATGAGTAGTTGATTTCTTTTATGCTGAAAATTTATTAATTTTTTGTTGGGAAACACAAATTAATGGGTGCTTGTTTTAGTCAAGTTGACACACATTCTGTGTTAATTCTTCCTGCATCATTACATGGCTTTTCCTGAAATAACTTTTAAACAGAGTCCACTTCCTTTTAGTTAACACAAGGAAGATTTAACACAGTTAAATCTTCCTGCATTGTTACATGGCTTTTCCTGAAATAAATTTTGAACAGGCTATCCAAAATATACTTCCTTTGAACAGCCTATTCTAAAGTGCTGAAATAAATTCTAAAAAATTAAATTTTTGTTAGAAAAATATTTATGGGTTATAAATGCTTACATTTCAAAATATCAGAAAATCAGAAAACTGTTTCTTTTAAAAAAATTTATTGCAAGTTCTGCCAGTGATTCTAAGGGATCGTCCTTAAAGTATTTACGCTTTGATAGGGGAGAGGGGGTCTACAAATGGCGTATATGAGATAAGGACAGGGGGTCAGTTATAAAATTAAGGAGACATTAAGTTTAAAAACATATCAAAAAAGAATGATTCTTATTTTTATATTAATAAGCTCATTTTTTACTTAATTCCATAAGTATTTACAGTTGGGATATTAATGTTGATTAAAACTATTTTTGATATGAATATTTTTTCTTAATGAAATAGTATAAAATTTAAAAGGAATATTTTTGTTTTTAATATTAGACTTCAAATTTTTATATGCTTTTTAATTGAAAACTAAAATTATATCAAGATTATTTTAAAAATATTAAAATATTATTATATTTTAATAATTTTATTTTGATTTGCTTTATGCAACATTCACCAGAGTGTCCATGACATGGCTAAATCAGCTAAACCTGCATGACATGGCTAAATCAGCTAAACCTGCATAGGATTTGATAAAAACACTTTGATTTCAGAAGTTGTTAGTGAGTTACTTAGGACTGGCTTATAAACCAGTGTCTCCCATGATATCAGGTCTACCAATTTTTCAGTATTAAAGTTTAGAATTTTTCTTGGTCTAGGAGAAGAATCACTTTTTTGTAGATCTTCATTTCTAGTAGCTCTAATATCTTTTTAATATCTACACTTCTATTCTTTTCAGTATTAAAGTACAACAGTGTTTATAGTATATATTCACTGAGTGAGTGTATACTACAAACATAGCAACTCAAATTTCTTTCTGAAATTTGAGTTGCTGCAGCTGGTAAAGTACATGTTTAGGACCTTCAATCCATGAATGTTTAACTTTGATCTTAAACCAACATGAGATGAAACACCCACAATGAACTCGGTTATATACTTTAAATTTTCTAAATTTTTACCCTGGATACCATGTTAAGGAATCCATATTCTACTTATTCTGTCAGATTAGTTAACTAAATTGAATTTAAAACAGGTCTAATTTGTAATAAATTAAATTTTGGGTCTAAAATACCACCTCTAATGGCACAAACTTTATAACCAAAAAAATTGATCTTCAGAAAAATTTATTATATTATCATTAAGAGAAATAAGTGGATTTTACCAATTACCAAGTTTAATAATTTTAGATACTGGGTTTATATCTAGGTCTGTAGCCAGATCAAACATGGACCCAAAAACGTCTCTGTTGGTTGGTAACCAGATCAAAAATGGACCCAATAACGTCTCTGTTGGTAACTCTAAAACTAGAAACTGTTATCCTGTACTAAATGCAACACTTATTTGTGTACTAGTATTTTATCTGGTTTTGGGTGCCATTATTCCTCTAATTTAAAATATTTTTTTTAAGAATTTTTTTGTTTAGGAATGAAAAAAAGTTTTAAAAAATGTTAGAATGAAAGCAATCAATTAAAAACTCTTAAATAATTATTTAACAATTTGCACTTAACAGTTGTTTACTTATTGCGCCAATAAAAAACTAATTTACTGACCATTATTAAGATTAAAAAAAAATGTTTTAATAAACCTTTTTGAGAAATGAAAAGTTATTTTACATGTTTATTACAAAATTTATTTAAAAATTTTATACATATTGAGTTAAATTTGTTTTATCGTTTAAAAGTCTGTTTATTTTACAGACAATATTGTCCGGTAACCTTGTTATTCTGTTTAAAAGAAAACAAAAACTGTTTATACGTTCATAAAAAAGTTAATCACATAAGTAAATATTTTTCTGATTAAATAATTAAATATATTACTGGTTAAAAAACCGAAAACAGAGAGTGGTCATCAGCAATAGAAAGTCTGAATGGGTAGATGTTAGTTGTGTTCCACAGGGTTCAGTGTTAGGTCCACTTTTGTTTCTGATTTATATAAACAACCTTCCAGACAACATGGTGCATCATATAAAGATCTACGCAGATGATTGTAAGATTTTAGAGGTAATCAAAGCAGAAAATGGTGCAACAAAACTACAACAAGACATAGATCACGCAATTGAATGGTCTAAAAAGTGGCTCATGTATTTCAATCTAGACAAATGTAAAGTCATGCATGTTGGTCACTCAAATAAATTAATACGCCTTTATTCAATGCTTGACATATATGGTAATCGAATAGAAATTGGAACAATAATTGTTGAACATAACTTAGGTGTTCTAACATCAAACGACCTTAAAGTTAAGCATCAAGTAGAAGCTGCAGCAGCTAGAGCAAACCAAGTACTTGGCAAACTAAAATATCTTTTCATACAAGAGGGCTAATGTTATGGAGGGTACTCTACACAACATACATTAGACCTCATCTTGAGTATGCCATCCAAGCCTGGTCTCCTCACCTAAAAAGTGACATAAAAGCACTTGAATGCATTCAACAGCGAGTAACAAAGGTGATAAGCGAGATAAAACACAAAAGCTATGAGGAAAAGCTGGCCATGCTCAATCTAACCACTCTATAAGAGCGCAGAAAAAGGGGCGACCTCATTCAACAGTATAAAATCACTAACGAAATAGAAAAAATAGATTTTGTAGTTCCTTAAGTATATGCCCCATTGCTATCAGATTATAATTTGTATGGACATAATCAGCCACTATCACGGCAAATTGTGAAATCTTGCCCAGAACGAGACAATTATTTTACTAATTGAGTTGTTAACAAATGGAATGGGCTACCAGCAAATGTAGTCAATGCAAGTTCTCTAACATTTTTAAAAGTCAATTTAATGCATTTTCAAAGCTAACCAGGATACACTGTGTGTCCCAAATTATGTCATCATAGTGGTGCCTGATGCTGCACCACTTCATCAAAGTTTACAATTCAAACTTTATTCTTTTATGATGGTTTTTTTTTTTAAATGGGTTGTAAATTTTTGATTTATGATTTTGATTTATAAACAAATTCGGATTCATATATGAGGTAGTGGTGTAATGGTAGAGTGCTCGCTTCATAAGCGAGTGGTTCCGAATTCGATCCCCACCACATCACTGGTTGTACCGCGCTTAACTTGTTTCTCTGCGCAGCGGCCTTGTTTGTCAGCGGCCTTGTTTGTCAAAGAGCTGAGAGAGAGTTATAACCAGAATTAAGTAACCTTCTTGTCTGTAGTGGCCTTCTTGGTCTTGGGGAGGTGAATTAACATTTTAACAAAAATCAGATTTGGATTCTCCATAAAATTCACATTTACTCGCAACTTTTATTAAAACATTTAAAAAAAAAAAGTTTTTTAATTTTTATTATAAAGTATTTTTTCTTCCATTAAAAATTTTGACTAAAAATAAATTTATATATTTTAATTAAACTTTATTTAAAAAAAAGTTGTATCAACAAATTATATTTATTGTGAGTTTTGTAAAATTTTCTTTAGTTTTTCATAAAGGGCTTTATTAAAAGGGCTAATAGCATCTAACAGTCACATTTATTTTGAGTTTTGTAGACTTTTCTTTAGTTTTTTCATAAAGGGCTTTATTAAAAGGGCTAATAGCATCTAATGATTTGTCCCTTATGAATGATATTTTTTTATTTAATTGTATTTAAATTGTATTTAATTGTATTTAATTTAAGAGGGTAGGCTGTTGTACTGATTTTATTTATAAATTTTGCAAATGCCTTGCATGTGCAAAATTTATAAATAATAATTTAAAACCCCCCAATGCTTTATTTTATTAAATCTGATCCCTGTCAAAATCATAATCGTGTCATCCTTAATTACTGTACATTTTCCTCTTACGCACCTGCAAACAAAGTTTCTAAATATCTGCAGTAGTTTTCTTTTTTTATCAATTTAGTACGAACGGTACAAGAATTTTGCAGCAGAAGATTTTGTTCTTCAAAATGGTGGTTTACTTTGTCCTGGAAAGGACTGTGGCAATGGTATTTTTTTGGAGCATGACCAAAGAAAAATTGTTTGTTTTAAGTCAAGAGGTGGTTGTGGGGCAAGTTAATTAATTAATAGTTTAAATAATAATTGTTTGTTTTTTTTTGTTTTTTTTGAAAAACATTTTTCAAAAAATAATATTTTTTAATTTAAAAAATTAGAAAATATTTATTTTTGAAAAAAAAAAAATATTTTTAATGAATGTGTTTTTTGTGTTTTAGTTTGCCTTTTGTCGGAATTGTCTTCTTGCATACCATGATGGTGAATGTATAAGTTCGATTGATAATCTAACCACGAAGAGTTGTTATGTAACTTTTTATACTTTTGAGACAATAAATTAAAAAAAACAACAACAGGAATTCAATACTACTTATCCAATAACAGTATTAATGTTTTTTAAAAGTAGATTCTAGTTTCCAAAATCAATTTTCAATTTTCAAGAATTTTATTATTTTTTACTTTTAATGAATACTTTTTTCACTTAGAGTTTATATTTTTACAAACCACTATAGATTTTATATAATTTATTAGTTTCGTTTTTGTTTAATTATTTGTCATCTAATCTAAAAAGACTTATTTATATACATCACTACATATCATATCCATATGTTTTTGTTGTTCATGAAATATTATAATTTATGGTATTTAGTATATCTTAACTTATAAATTATTTTAAGTTTTTTTTTTTTAATTAGACTTACGAAATCAGTCAGGCTAATGCAATGCACGCAAAATGGAGAGACGAAGCTAAGTGTCGGGATACAATAGCTCAAACTACAAAACCATGCCCTCGCTGTCGTTCTAGGACAGAGAAAAGTGGTAAGTATTATGCTTGATACCAGGTATAGAAAAGAAAAAAAATAAAGAAAATAAAAACATTTTTGCCTAACGCTGTTTGTTGTAAAAACTAACTGATATTATTCGTAAAGTTAGGTGTTATGGTGTAAGAAACAGATTTATTTTATTTGTTTAGGTGGCTGCAATCATATGCAATGTGCACGTTGTAATTTACAATGGTGTTGGTTATGTTTAGTTGAGTGGGGAAGAAACTGCGAATCTGATCACTGGTTTAGAGCGAGTTGATTTTTAAGGTGGTGCTGATCACTGGATTATAGTGCAAAATTAATTTGTCAGATTCAAGTGTTTTTATAATATTTTCTATAATTCATATATATTTCTTATTATTTATTACTTTTTTTTACCCTGTTTTAATTCTCATAATTATATTTTATTATTATATTTTATTTCTTTTCATTCCCCTAGAATTTTAAATTTAGTTAGTCTGTTTAATTTAGTAAATTTTAACTCGTTTGTTAATGAGTGTCCATTAAGTCGTATATTGTCTAATAATTTGATTTAACAAAGAGAGTCGATATTCTAAAAATAATCCACATAAATAAATTGTACGGTATGTTAATATTACTTTTAAGATATCAGTTTTTCACCTGAAATTTTTTTTTGAGTGACGTGAAACTAATGACAACGATAACGACATTAATAATCACAATATCGTAATAAGCAGTAGGGTGGAATGAAAATTACTTTTTTTAAAAATTCTTCTGTTACACCCCTAGTTTGATTCTCTATAATAAAATAATATTGGATCAAAAAACACATTTATTTAAAAATTATTTTCTTTTTATTATATAAAACAAACCTATGGATGTAATAGGAGATCTTAAAAAAAAAGTAATTTTCAATCCACCCTAACAAGCAGACAAAGATGAGGCTTTTAAAACACAACAGTAAATATTATAATAAATAATCAACATTAAAATAAATACTCAAGATAAATGGTAAAAAAAATCATCGCATTACCCTCTAAAAATAACTAACAAAAAAGTTATACATAACAGATATAAAAAAAAAAAAAAAATAGGAAAATGAGTATAAAGTTTATTTGTTTTTATAAAGTATATAAATAAGAAACAAAAAGTAAACAACAGAATGCAATAACAACTTCAAATTGCTATTAAACGCATAAGTCATGAACACAAAACATAATTAGGAAAATCAAAACGATGGCAGCAGGTACTAATATCCGACAGGGCTAAAGAAACTAAAGCATCAACTGTTAATTAATGTCATTCAATGACATTAATTAACAGTTAACGTTATTCAATTGCTTGAATTCATTTCTTCAAAATCAATTCTTTTATAATCAAACTTTAAATCTTTTTTAGTTAATTGTTGAAGTTTCTATTAAGAAGGTAGGAATTAAAAAGCAACACAATATAGACAACATCAAGATATTAAAATCTACTTAAATATGTTAAAAGTGTTTGTAGGTTTTTAGAATAAAAACAATTTTATATTTTATTTATTATATATATATATATATATATATATATATATATATATATATATATATATATATATCAGTGGCGGATCTACAGTACTGCAGATTAGGCGGCCGCCTAAGGAGAAATATTATATTATAAATAAGGTGTATCTCACTTTACATTTTTTTAAAGTCAAAATTTCATTAGGATTTTTTTCACGGTTTCGGATTTGAAACCGCAAAAATGAGCGAAAGTGTTAAATATATTGGCGAATATATTGATTGGAGAAATGGCTTTTTTATGCATTAGGCGAAAAATTTTTTGCCTAATCTAAGGCAATCTGGAAAATCGGAAATTTACCCTAATTTAGTTAAAATTTGGCCGGTTGGTTTTTATGCCTAAGGCCGCCTGATCTGAGACGATCTGATCAGAAAATTAAGAAAACTAGACATATTTGCCTGAAACTTGGCCGATTGGGTTAAGTTTAGGCATAAAAAGTCTGGAAATTAAAAAATTTAAACAATTTCCTTGAAATTTGGCCGATTGGGATATAGTTTACGCATAAAATGTCTGGAAAATAATACTCTTAGCATTTCTTTCTTCAAGTGTCTAATTTAAGCTGTCTAAGATTTTTGATAATTTGTGAATTGCATTAGAGAGAAGCGATAAAGTTACATTCGAAAAGATAAACAAAAAGTATTCCCTCCAATTTGATTCTTTATGTTTTTTACATTCATTAATTAATCAAGTTCATCTTAAATATTTGCGCTGAAGCCTACTTAAACAAAACTGCAAAATCGGATAAATTAGTACCTATTCTGTAAGTTATTATTTGTTTATACTGCTTTATTTACGTTAAGTTATTTAATCAGAGGCTTTCATCAGATTAGCATTAGTATCAAATTATTCATATTTTGCTAGCAAATCACAAGTTAATCTTACAGATTAACTTGTAAAATAATGTTTCAGTGCGAACTATATATCAAATGCAAAAACTAGTTAGTGGTTTTAGCTATGGATTTATTTACAAGGATTTTAAAGTTAAACAATAAGGCTTTATACACCCATTGTTTTAGTCATCGAATAAATCTAGCAGTGTGTAGTTCTTGCAAAGTTCAACCTCTCTGTAATGCTATAAACCATGTAAAAGAGGTTTTCTATTATTTTAATTTTTCTATCAAAAAAAAATTCTGTCTTGGAAACAATGATTTTAGAACACTGTCCTGATAAAAAGGAAAAAAAACTTAAAGATGTTAGTTGATTTAATTGGCTTGAAAGAATAGATGGTTTGGATACATTACAGAAGTTGTATATTCCAATAGTTTATTCCCTTGAAGCTATAAGCAATGACATAAATAAGTTTGGGGTAGACTCCCAAAGAGCTACATCTTTATTGAAATTGGTCACTACCTTTGAATTTATTATTTCCTTGGTTGTGGCTAGAGCTGTTTTTGATAAAAAACATATAGTGACTAAGATTGGAGGGAAAGCTTGAAGATTTTTTCTGATTTTTATTATGAAGATTTGTCAAATCTATTAGCTTTAGATGCGGAGTGTGGGCTTTGGGAGGTATACTGGACTACTAATTATCCCATTCCAAACAATGTGTCTGATACTATAAAGTCAATTTCATGTATAAAAACTTTTGCCAATATTTTTGTTTGTTTGCAGTTATTAGCAACTTCACCTGTGACATCGTGTTCTTATGAAAGATCTATTTTAAATCTTCACAGATTCAAAACCTGGTCAAGATCAACTATGTCTGGAGATCCTTTGGTTTAACATTGATGTATACACATAGAGATATAGTTCCAGATAATCAAGAAGTTATCAAAAAGTTAATGCAAAGAAATGGCTATGTTTCTGTACAAATAAGTCAAAGTCTCTGTGACTCGGTTTATTCGTAAACATTTTTACACAATTTTAATAGTTTAAAGACTGTTGACTAAAGCATATAAATCACTTAAAATCTCTGTGAATATGACTTCGTTTCGTCTACTATAATCACTATAATCTATAATCACAAGTTAAATCTTTTAATCACAAGTTAAATACACTTTTAGTGTCAATCTAATTGACACTAAAAGTGTATTGCATTCATTTGTATGTAGGATAAAAACATATATTTTATTGCCTAAAAATACATTTGGCCATAAATATATTTTTCAACCTTAAAATCCAAAATTAGTGAAAATAAAGATTAAAACATTTAAATATATTAGTAAATAAAGAGTTATGGAAAACCTTTCTGGTTGAAACAGTTCAGTACAATATATTATTTATCCTTATTTTTATTTCATTAAGTTAGCAGTTTACTTTCTGAGGGGATTTTTGTTTTAGAAAAAATTGTTATATTGTTAAAATTGTTTTATTGTTAAAATTTTTATATTGTTAAAATTGTTATATTGTTAAAATTGTTATATTGTTATTATTAGTATAATTGTTCAAGGAACTCTCCTGAACAATATTACTAAATAACTAGCACATTTTTATTTTTTGTTGTTCAAAATTGCAACTATGATTTCAGGCTTGTGATTTAGACGGTTTGTGTAAATTTTTAAGTGATTTTTAACGACTGAAATTTTTCTTATCTTAATCCTTAATTACAGAACAGTTTTTATCTTTACTCAATCACTAGGAGGACTTGATCAACATTTAAAGTGTAATTTCAAATCATGAAATATTTTTTAAAAACTTTATGAATGTTTAAAAACTACTTTATTTTATTGTCATAATACTCTTTATCTTTTATGATTAAGTGTCCTGTTAATCAATGAATGAAAATGTGCAAGGAAAAGCAGTTTGCTAATTGATTGTGTATTTTTCTGTCATACACCTTCAGTCGTTCTGCATAAAAAATCGTACACATGAATAGGAAGGAAACCTTGACGTGGTTCATGTGCTTTAAACAAATACCTTCCAGACAGATACATTCTCACCCGTTGTACTGTGAGAGATAAATGGTCAGAAATTTGATTTCTTTAGATTTTTTTTGTCTGAATTTATTTATTACTCAATAAATCAAATTTTTTTAAATGTATTAATAAAATCATAGTTAATCTACTATTTGTTTTCAATGTTTTGTATTCTTCGAATTGGCTAATAAAAATTAGCAAATCAATAAAAAGGGCTGGTGCTAGTTGCCGATACAGATTGTGATATATTTGGCTGATTAAGCTGATGCAGATTAATCTGAACATCACCAAGAATATTCAGATTAATTTTGAATTTCCAAATTCCTTTTTTTATTTTTAGTTGACATCGAGTACATAAACCATATTAAGAATAGCTAGTATAGGTATAATTTTTTATTAAATTTTGCATATGTTTTATGTAAAAGATAATGACCAGAATCAAGTTTATATTTATAAAAAAAAATCCAAAAACAATAAAAAAAAACAATAGTTTGGGAGGGAGCGATTTTAAGTTAATTTTTGCTTGAATTTTAGACTTATATTGTCTTAACCAGTTTAGCATTAAAAATTTTTTTTGTTTTTGAAAATGCGTTCTTATTTTTATAAAAGGCTGCAAACACCGAGTCTTAATCACAAAAAAAAAATTCCAAATCGTGCGAATGGGGTGAATACATAGGGGGAGCCCCCTGGTGTCAAATAAAAACCTTTTGAAAATATAAATCCGAGTTAGTATAGAGTTGACAAATAGTAAATGGGGAAGGGAGGCTTATTTGGTATTAGAGAGTACCACTGTCTGGGATGGATTGTGTTATATCAATCGTGGCTCAGTAGTTAGAGCATTGGATTCGTAATCTAAGGGTTGCGAGTTCGATCTCTACTCGAAGCACATAAAGGTTATCGGTAAGGTTGGAAACGGAGAGCCAAGTTACAAATGTTATTGTCTTTGTGGCGGTGCTCTGTGACAAGGCCATTAGGATTTCTTAGAGC